TATTACATAATATATGTATATAATTTTAATAAAACTCACAGTTGAGATTTCATTGTTATATAAGTCTTGATAATTCGTAATAAGTACTGCAGTTTCATCTTCCAATTTCTTTATCATATTGTTCATTTTTTTCAGGTTTAGATAGTCTTCATTGCGTTGAATTTGCGCTTTTTCTAATTTTTCTTTATATAACTTCTTCTTGCTGTAAATAAAAATTTTTGTAAAACGAAACAAATGTGCTTAATTTATAACAGTTTACAATACCTTAATAATTGGGCACTTAAATTACGTAATTGAGAAAGACATTCTTCATATTGTATATGAATTTCATTTACTTCGTTTTTATTGTATTGATCATTTTGTGTTACTAATTTTTTTTCAATTTCTGCAATATGTGTTTTAAATATATCAATTTTTTTCCCAACACTATCCTCTTGCATTCTTATTTTTCTGAGATAAGAGTAGAAAGTAAAATTAACCAATATGTAAGATTTTAATGAAAATATAAGAAAGAAAAATTGTATAAGTACTTTAATTGGTCATATATATCTCGCATTTCATTAAGCTTATCTAATTGGTTTTGAATAACAGCTAAAATATTTTTTTGTTGTTCAATTGAATGCTTTTTATCCTGGAATGCCTCCTGCATTGTTTCACGTTCTTTGACTTTAACATTCTGCTGTTGCTCTAATTCATTTAAACGCATTTGATATTCTTCAGGAGTTTTTACAACCTCTGATTGCAATTCAGCTGTTGTTTTACTTAACTGTAAGTATGTATTATGTAATTTAATATATATGAATGGTTTCAGCTTTCTTTTTAAATGATAATTTACCTTTACTACTTGTGCTTTATAAGTCCTATAAAGTTCTAGTGCTTGTTGCTTTTTCTCTTCTGCTGCAGTCATCTTTGCCATTAATTCAACAGAATACTTATTATTTTCTTCAATTTTAGATTGGAACTTTTGAATCTCAAAAATTAACTAGAAAAAAAAAAGAAAAGAAAAAATATATTATGTATAAAATAATTAGAAATTGACTTAATCAAAAATAATACTTTTTCCTTTGATGATAACTTCTTTGCTATGTATAGTGCTTTATCATTTATAGCTTCTAATGTCTCATTTTTCTTTTCTAATATATCGTGTAACACTTTTGCTCTGTGTTGAATGTGACAAACTTTATCTTTAATATCTAACTCTTTATTATTTGCATATAATATGAAATTTGCAAGAAATTTTGCTTGTCTACGTATTCTTTTTGAACCTGGATAATACAATTTGTTTTGACCTAATTAGTTTATTACATATGAATGAATTTTAAATTTGTAATTGATAATATTTACTTGGACTAAGGATATCTGTAACACCAAAATCTTTTAAATATATACGATCGCATATCTGTACCATAGCAATATGTAAATTTATAACACGAATTATATCAGTATCTTCACAGTATTGCATTATATCTTGTTGCTCCATTGTTGGCTATGATAAAACAGAATTTATGATACAAATATTTAAATTAAAACTATTAAGATACTAAACTTGACAATTCTTACTTTATCGATTCTGCCTACTTTAATACTGAATCTTTGTAGAAAAGTAATAATTAGACTGAAAACATAATCTTCTGTCGGATTTTTCAGTAAACTTCTACATGATGGAAGATTTGCTTCAGTTAATATGTTATGAATCTTTTCTACATCGAAATCCATTTTTCTAAACTAGTAATATCGTACTTTCCGTTCATTCAATGTAAATTGCTCTTATTTAAAGAAGCTTAGTTTTGTTGCGCGGCCATACAGGGATTTTCGCGTTAATAATGGGTTTCCCGCCGGTGGAACGCTGATCCACTCTGCTCGCGTTCGATCTGCGTGGCTGTTTCCAATCTCGATGAAAAAGGGATTTGGATACTCTTCAAATGTAATATTACTTTGAAAAAGGTTAAATAAAGATAAAAGGAAATTTATTCCTAGCTATGAGACTAATTTGTTAATTTACTATACAAAATTGGAATAATTTACTAATTTATTGTACAATTTGGAATACACAAATAACGCAATTTATCGTTTCTGGCGCTAAGATGCTAATGAGAGCCGAAGCGACGTCAGAATATAAAATCTAATGTAACGGGCTTTTGTTAATATTAACATCCAATAATATAAATCGTTTCCCTGCTTATTCTCTAACAAGTCATTTGATTGGTTCTTAGCTCATTAAGAACAAGTGGTTTTACATGTGGCGATGTATCAATACTAAGTAACCGAAATCAATATTTATTTAGTGAGCGTCACTAAGTAGTAATTCGCAGAAGTATTAACAATCTTTTGTTTGTTCATTCGATTGTTTCCGTTGATGGTCTGAATTTGGCGCGCCTAAATCATAAGGCCCGTATTCACATGGTACCGTAACAGTTTCAAATATGTTTAAATTTGTTACACATGCGCATATAACGCAGTTTGTACACTTTATGACGAATTTTCAATTGCAATTTTTAAACTATACATTAAATTATAACACCCATCTCATATTTATATTTATAGACCAAAATATAATAAATTAATATTTATA